AAGGAGGATATTTGGGACCAGTCTTGAGCTGCCATTATGTTCCACTGAGAAACTAAACACTAGTGCTTTCTCAATTCATTTATATATTTCTCGAAGTGTTCCATAGTCTTTAATTTGTGCTAACAAAATTGATCAGAAGTACTATATTAAAATTATCATTCATTTTTTATACTTACTGAACAGCAGTAAGAAAAGCAGGAATCTTTGTCATTTTGTTTAGCATGTAAATGCACAAAAACCTCAGCTTACCTGAACTTTGCTAAAATATCAACACTTAATTAACCACAAGTTTTCTGCATTATACTTTTCCTAAAGATTTGTGAAATACAAGGAAGAAGGTGATATTATGAATTACTGTAAAAATGCATGGTCATGGATACAATTATACATTCAAATCAATCTCCTTTGTCATCTCTATTTATGATCAAATGAAAAAAGGTCTTTTTAATGATGATCTCAAGGAAAAATAAGATTTGAAATTACCTGAAACCTTTCAATTAGGTCCAATATGTGATTTGTAGTTATGCAAGTAAAGTGGACTCAAGCATTGTAGAAATATTTCAATTAGGATTTTTTTTAAGTTTTCTATTTGGGGTTCAGTTAACCAGAAAATTAAATTAACCAGAACTCTCTCATTTCCAAATAATTTCAGTTAATTGAGATTTGATTGTACTTTTATTGTCATCTTTGTTCCCACGTGGAAATTAATTCCATTTCAGACTTATTTCTTGGAGGGTGTTTAGTATAGTTATCACCTTAAATGAGTAGGATAGGGTGCGTAGGGTGGCTTTTCATTTTTGGATTTTAATTATTACTATATATGCATGTATATATATAGTGTGTATATATATAGAGAGAGAGTATATATATATGAAAAAGAGCTTGCCTTGGCAGAAGTGTTTAAAGAAACATGAGTAGTTAATGCCCTCACTGTGATTTGACTTTCATCTTCCTTTTTTAAAGCACATTTTTCATTTTTTCCCCCTTTAAACCTATCATTTATAACTGAAAAGTATTTTTTAAGAAATGGAGCAATGCTTTCTATCCCATTTATTAAAGTAATGCGCAGAAGGAAATGCACCGTGGTAAAAACAATTTATACGAGAAATGATAATGTTTTGCTAAAGATAACCAGGAAGGAGGAGAAAAAACCTCTCAAATAGCAGACAGAGGCCAGATGGTCTTTTTTTTTTTTTTTTTTTTTTTTTTTTTAAATGCAGTCACTAAGCAGGAAATTTTGTTTGATTAAGAAGGCACTGGTCTTGATTTTCATTCAGCAGTTTTGAGGAACTTTTTTTAATGGACACACACACACACACACGCACACACGCACACACCCCACAAGCCATTTTCATTCAGCCAAATGATCATTTGTGCTATTGTAAGCAAGATTCTGCTGATGAAAATGTGAAGTCTTAATGATAAAGAAGAAAACGAGTTCCCAAGTCTCAGTTATGAAAGAATTTGGAATTTACCCACTACCCTAAAGACCTTCAATCATTACCATATCCATCATATTGTTGTAAGGTCTGGTGTTTTGTTTTGTTTTCTTTTGATAGCGTGGAATAGAAGAAAGGCTGTGTACCACAGTGGCTAACTAGGGTTTTGTGAGATACAGGGTAGACCAGGGGGAAAAAATAGAGGTTTTGGAGTTCAACACCCCAGGGGGCTAATGTGCATAAAGCGACTGCTCCAAAGGACCTGAGTTTAATCCTTGGAGCTGCCAGTCAGGATCAGGATGAAGAAGCACCCATGCAAAGAATTGCTTCTGGATGCTGATAGGCAGGGAGGTGGATGTGGGGGAGGTAGGAAGGGGGAACGGAGTACCCCTCTTTGGACTGTGATGTTTTGGCAGTCAGTGCTCGGAGGAGGGTAGCTGGCAGTGGCTCCAGCACAACAAAGCTCTCTTCGGTGAAGTCACCAGCACTCTTGCCATCGTCTGGCACCCTTTGCCCAGCACCCCAGGAGTGAGCAGTTTCCAGTCTGTATTCTAAGGATGAAAATGACTAAAGTTGTGAAACTAAGTATTTGCATCTGTTTCAAAGAGAGAGAGTCACTTGGAATTTGGAATGGGAAGAATAGATTTAGACAACTGGCAAAATTGTTTGGAATGATGCCCTGAATCAAGAGACCCTGTTGACTTAAATAAGGACAAGCTAAAGGAGCTACGTAAAAGAGATAAACGACATATCTTTACCATCAAGATGACAAATCAGGCATTCAAATTTGTTATTTCAAAAATGAAATGTGTTCTCATATAGTTGTGTGATACTTTCTCCAATTAGTATTCATATTTATAGTCAAAATAAGTATAACTTCACTTTAATACAGCTTAGCCACCTTGAAAGCTCACTGTTCTTAAAGCTAGATTTTTTTTCGTAAGTGAATTTTTAAGCCCTATATTGCATCTTAAGTACTGAGTTCTTTTGGTTTTTTTTATGTTTAAGAAATGGCTTTTCTTAATGTTTAAAAGCCAGCTTCTTGTCTAATTTGATTCAATGGATAAAATGTACAGGATGAAACTCACACTTAAAATGCATTTCAATGAGAATTAAATTGTTTAAAATGAAATGTTTTTCCTTTAAATTTTAAACAAACAATAAGATACAAAGCAAAATAACAAGAAAAAACTCTTAAGTCAACTCCCTAAGGTCATACCTTTTGATATTAACTCCAAATTCGTGCCTTGTATTCATGTTTTACAAATTACATTTATAATTTATCTCAAAGATAACAAGGAAGCGTACTTTGATAATGTAAGGAGAATCTCTCAGACTTTAGCCTGCCTTGAGAATATGTTTTAAAAGCCATTAGGAGCTTCATAGCATTTGTGGGATTTGTTCTACATATATTTTGGGCAAAATTCTCAAGTCTCCAAATAAACAACTTAAATCATGGTTTTTAGGCCAAAAAGTCTTTGGGTTGGGAATAACTCACCCTCAGAAGACTACTTGCTTTATAACCCCTCCCCTGGACCCCTGCGACCCTGTCCTCCCACAAACCTTATTTGCTTCACTGTGGAAGAGTGGCACAGGGCACCCACCACCCAGACTTCCCAAGCTCTTCTCTTGGTCTCTGCTGTAGCTGCAATAACAACTCTTTATTCTCCTACAACAATTGCCTCTGCGACTATTTTCCTTCTAACCCTTTCTTAAAGAGATGGGCTCTAAAAATCGTGATACAGCTGCTATTGTAATATTACCTAGCCAGTGAATTTATTTATTTTGAAATGCTTTTTGATATTATTGTCATTGTCATTGTCAAATGACATTATGACATGTCAAAAGACATTGGCTGTCAGCCAGTGGGATCTAGTCTTAACTCATCTTTGGTGCTCACCAGTCATAAAGCTGTAGTCACATGTGTTTATTTCCCCCAGCACTCTTCCCTCATTTACTTCCTTTCCTTCATGAAATTTCCTTTTCTAGAGGTGCAAAAGCTGGTAAGTACAGACAAAACCAATGCCTCTTCCAATGTCTCTATTCATTTCCTTCCTGTCCATCCCTATAACCTTAACTGTACATCCATGGTTATTTTCAACTTTGAGTTAACATCCTAGAATCAAACACTTAAGATATTCAGGTAATTCTGAATACCATATGCTACGGTTTCAATGTGTCACCCAAAATTTATTTGTTGGAAATTTAATCCCCAATGCAGCAGTACTGGGATGTGGGGCTTAATGGTAAAGCCCTTACGAATGGATTAATGCCACTATTAAAAGGGTTTATGAAAGTGGGTTCTTCCTCTCCTACTCTTTTGCCATGTGAGGACATAGCATTCCTCCCTTCCAGAGGACACAGCCTTCAAGATGCCATCTTGGAAACAGAGAGACTAGGCCCTGACCTGCTCTCTGTTTTTTTGTTTGTTTTTGTTTTTTTGTTTTTTTTTTTAGATGGAGTCTCTGTCGCCCAGGCTAGAGTGCAGTGGTGCAATCTCTGCTCACTGCAACCTCTGCTGCCCGGGTTCAAGCATTTCTCCCACCTCAGCCTCCCTAGTAGCTGGGATTACAGGCGTCTGCCACTGCGCCTAGTTGATTTTTGTATTTTTAGTAGAGAGAGGGTTTCACCATCTTGGCCAGGCTGGTCTTGAACTCCTGATCTCGTGATCCACCCACCTCAGCCTCCCAAAGTGCTAGGATTACAGGTGTGAGCCACCGCACCCGGCCTAAATCGTTGTTCTTTATAAATTACTTAGTCTCAGGAATTCTGTTATAGCAGCACAAAATGGACTAAAACATCGTGGTTCCTGCTTTTTTGGCTCACTAAGTGTTCATGACTTTTCTCTTTCAAAATTTTATTGCTAAAATAAATAAAGATGTCACTATTTTACAATAATTCATCACATTGCATTTTCCTGTAAGAAATAGTAAAAGTTGGATTTTTATGCCCTTGAAAAAGAACTCTATCCTTGAGGCAATCTGAAGCTAAACATTTAACAACTTGAAAAATTAAATCACAGCTCTGGCCAAACACTGGAAAGTTTTATACTGAAATTCAGATACTCTTTGCTTGTTTATTGACAGGGAAAAAGCCAAGATGTCAAGAAAGCCAGCACAAATATGAGTAGTAATATCCCCTTAGCTAACATAGATTTGTACCACCCATCTACCTTCTATCATGTCATCCTTTTTATTTCTTTCATTTTCATGCATGAGTCTTTGAAATGTTTGTGTTTTTAAAAACCTTTTTTTTTATTTCCTTCATTAAAATGTAAGCTCTCCAAGGGCAGGCCTTTGTGCTCGTGTTTACCACCAATTTGCTGCTGCCTAGAGCAGCTCGTGGCACACAGAATGACCTCAAAGAATACCATGGGAATGAAAGAGTAGTGAAAGAAATGACTCTTCTGATTTTACTCCAAAATGAGTAGTTCTAATTTTTTTTTAATGCTTAAAGAAAGCCAAAATGGATGTACATATAGGATTTCTAATATCATAAAAGTAACAAAATTAGCTTACTCTTCCAAACTCTTTTATTTTATTAATATTTTTTGAATAATAAAAAATTATAGAATGCTTCATGAATTTGTCATCCTTGCGCTGGGGCCATGCTAATCTTCTCTGTATCATTCCAATTTTAGTCTATGTGCTGCTGAAACAAGCACCAAACTCTTAAAATTAGCTTAGGTTCAGAGTGAAGAGCTGAAGTTGCAGACCAGACCCAAGTTGTTTTGGGACTATGAAGGACATTAAGGGCTCTGTTTAGTTGAGCAAAATCTATGGGTGAGACTTACCTGCCTTCTGCCAATTTTCCTGGTACAACAGCTGATGTCAGAGGGTGGTTGGATAAGGAGCTTGGAGCCATTGGTAAGGAAGTTCTCATCACTTTCTTGCAGGCTCCTTTTACCTCTAGTCTTCTGTGACTCAAGGGTCATTCAATACCAAATGAAATTCTGCCTCTATGGTAACTGCTAGAAAGCCCAGTGATGATCTGATTTCTAGTAACAACTGTTGGCCATATACCCAGGAGGAGACAGGAGTTGTGTCTATTAGGAAATAATTTTCCATGGATCTATCACCTTTTTGTACCTCTTGTGAGCTGGAGCACTGAATGCTTTTATTCCACACTATTTCCCAAGATGTTTGTATAGCAGTCTTGGGAGATAGAGGTAGTATCTTGCTCCAGAGGAGAAGGCAGGTTTGTTTGTTGTTCATTATATTAAAGACAACGTCGTCTTCCAGGGCAAAAGTTGGGCAGGCTAACTCGCAGTCCATTATAAAAGATTCAGGTTCCCTAAGCTTGGGGTTGCTCAGGTATGATGCAAATCTCTTGAGTGTGTAAACATGGACCTAGGATGCTCCATAGGACTTCGAGGACAAGGGGAACCAACAGAACATGAAATACATACCATTTGAGTAAAAACAGCCTTTATCTTTGATTCAGGTGTCTTCTGCCAGCATTCATGAAATGAAACTGGCAAATAGCAAAAATCTGAAACATTTCACTGTTCTTGATAGTTTCACATGCTCCATCCATGCCAGGGTACCTTATTTCCTGCAAAATAAAAAATTCTGACAAATAGTACATATGGGACAGGGTGACCTTCAGTGGGAAGCAGAAGTGAAGCCCCAAGTTCATAGTGGGAGATCAGTGGTAATGAACAGAGGTATGTCATAGTGTAGGAAATAGATGACATTGCCAATGTGAAGATAAGTCATTCATGTTAAGAATAAAAATGCTAGTTCATTTCACATTCACATACTGTTTGTTCATATAAGATGCTCCATGAATGTTATTGAATAAATGGATCTATATCCTTCTTGCTTGCAAAAATGGTATGAAGTGGTTTCCGGTAAAAAACACAGATAATGAATTTATTCAAAGAAGAGTGGGAAGAGGCAATTCAGAACAACAAGGGAAGAAGGACCCCAACCCCACAACCCCTACCACCCTGTCCTTCCATAAGAGCGAGAATTTTGTCAGGCACTTTAAAAAGTTCACCTCACTAATCCTCAAAGGACCCTTAAGATTGCTCTCATCGTCCACGTTTTACAGATAAGGAAACTGCGTAGAAGATAGGAAGAGCATCTGTGAGTATAAGATATGTACAGTATCTGGCTCCAATCTGCCTTTGCAAGGAAATGGCAGAGCCAGGATTTGAACTCAGGTTTATCTGACTTCAAGGTACTACGTGGTTTTGTTTGTTTGGTTTTTTTTGTTTGTTTTGTTTCATTTTGTTTTGTTTTTTGAGACTGAATTTTTTTACTCTTATCACCCAGGCTGGAGTGCAGTGGTATGATCTCAGCTCACTGCAACCTCTGTCTCCCAGGTTCAAGTGATTCTCTTGCCTCAGCCTCCCAAGTAGCTGGGATTACAGGCACCCGCCACCACGACCAGCTAATTTTTGTATTTTTAGTACAGACGAGGTTTCACTACGTTGACCAGGCTGGTCTCGAACTCCTGACCTGCCCGCCCCAGCCTCCCAAAGTGCTGGGATTACAGGCATGAGCCACTGCACCTGGCCTCTACATGTTTTTTTTACAGGACACGACATCGACAGTGTCAGCCCACTAGACCAAGAACTCTTGGGCCCACTGAGCTCAGGGCTTAGCCCGAAGTTTTCTGAAAGCATGCCAGAGGGAAAGCTGGATGAAATGCTTTAGTAAAGAAGAAATCACATCAGCTCATCACTCATCTGACAATGGAAAGGACTGATCAGGAAGAGGGGGAAAGGAGAATAGTGGCAGAACATAGAAAAGAGAAAAAGAGAAAAAAAAAAGAAAAGAGAAAAAAAAGACTGAAATTTTTAATGGAGTGCAAAATCAGACATATTTTTTACTTTTGTGAACCTCTTTAGAGACTACAATAATAATTCTTATGTGATAAGTCCAGTAAACTATGATATGTTTTATTAAATATACCATCATACTAGCAGCTTTTGTGGAATTTGCGTCAGAAGAAAAGTATAAGATATTACCACCATGACTTGGCAAAACCAGTGTACTATATTAATGTTAGCTGCTTAGTTGCTGTAATTGTTTCTCAACGTAATACCCACTGCATAGTTTCCCTGGGAGTTCTTGAAAGCTCTATTGAAAGGTTATATTTAAAGTGTAAGTTAGAGTGTGCTGTGAATGGAGAGAAAATTGTTTTTCTTTTTGTAGAAAATTCACTTTCCTTGGGACTATATACTAAGTTAGCTCAGTTATTTGACAGAACCAGTATCTTATTTTACAAAGGGAAAAACATAGATCTAGAAATTTCAAGAAGTGGATCACTGGTTGAAAGGGCAGGGGGTGTGACTGAATGTGATTTGAAAGCAGTTTTAATTTTATGACACTTTACAGTGTGTGTGTGTGTATGTGTTTTAATGATAACCTAATTTTATTGCCCCAGACTTAAAGATCTGTGCCACCTGGAGAAACTACAGTTCATCCATTAGCATGTAAATGTGTTAAGAGTATTTTTGCTTGAATTTCTCCCGAGAAGCCTTCTGGCTTTGTTCTGTACAGACACACAGTCCCGACGCTGTTCTTAATATCCTGTTTTCATTTGTCAGCGCTGTTGTCCTTTTCGTTGCCATGTTCCCATCATTCCTCTTCTTTCATGTGGTGCTTTACAATAACATTCAGAACAAAAGAGTCACTCCTCTTTCTGTTGCCTTGAAAAAAAAAAAAAAAAGACTTCTTCCCCTAACTGTAGAGCTTCAGTGATCAGGGGAAATGTTTAAAGCATGGAATTCGTAATAGTTAACCAGAAATTATGAATAAGGGTTAGTTTTCCTTACTTTTTAAGATCACGAGGTGGCTTCAGGGTATTGTGAGCAAAAGGTTTTTGTGTGTGGCTGACTTTGAAGTTGAGGGAAAAAGCGATTTTCTTTGAGAAAAGGAGCCATCATATTTGAGAGAATTTCCCAATCTGCTCACACAATGGGAATCAGTTACTCTATAACATCGTCATTACCTCCATGAGTCACGAGACTAGTATTTGTTCTTGTCTTTGAACTTAAGCTTTCCAGTGTTCAGAGAACAATTGTGAAATGTCGCATTGGCCATCACCAATAACTATTTTGCTCCTGGTTGGTAATAATTGGGAAGGGGAGGGTGTGTACTTTCTCTGCCTTCTAGGAGAGTATTATATAAATAAAGTAAGAAAAAGTTTCCCCAAGCAGCAAGCTTTTCTCCAGGGCACAATCTATTATACTTGCTGCAAAAATCCCACTTGACTGGTCTTTCAGAGAATAGATCACTTGTGTCATTTTGCTCATTTCCAGGTAACCTTTTGCAGATATGAGCAGGCAGTTGTTGTTTTTAAATAAACATTATCTACAGGTTTCTGTTTTTGCACTGAGGAAGGAATGTTTCTTTAATGCAGAAGGGATGCTATAACTGAGGGGTTTGTGAAGAGTGAGTTCTAACCAGTCTCAAATAATTTTGAAAAGGTGCTTTTGTATATGTATATGTGTACTTATGTATACATACACATTATATATAAGTACAAAAACTAATTCCATTATGGACATATATAGGACTTTATACAGACATATAAATAGTTCTATGAATATATATATATAAATGCCTAGCAAACTATAAATACATTTGAGAAAGCATTCAGGGACGGTAATGTTAAACACTTTTCATCTGTGGCTGGTTTCACAGAAATTAGTAACTACCATTTCTGCTACCACCACGCTGTTGGTCCATTCACCAGGAGGATTGATTTAGACTTCTGCCAGGAGACTAGGCGTGACCAGCTCTCACCCTCTTCCTCTCTGTCCAGTCTGCTATCATTGCCTTCAGAACCAAATTCTTGCATGATACCCAGTACAGCATAGACCTGGAAAACATCGGTCATTTTCAATATAATGTAAAACAGGTTCTGTGTGCCTTTAAAACTAAATGCTTTATTTCTTAAACTGTAAAAGACATGAAATGTCTGAGACATTCAGATAGTGGGAAATTTCATCTGCAAGTTGTCAGATTATGCCCTTTAAAAGATTATAATTTTTTTTTTGTTTATCATTTTCTCTTGAGGGGTGGAGTAAATATTTCTTTCCTGATGTTTCAACTTCAGATGTTCAGGCTAATTTTCCACTACAGTGCCAAAATAGGGAAAAGTTAGGCCTGTAGAATTTTGACAATTTAAATGTTGTTTTAACAAAAGCCATGTCTTGATGAAAAGTTATTTAGAATTCTACTTGATGATCTATGTGTGTCTCTTCCGAGGACAATGAGAACTTCTTAAGGAAGTCATCTGTATGTGAAATTGAGTAATCCTTTTATTCATTGTTAAAAGACAAGTGAAGTTATAATTTGGAGAGACATATGCCAAAAAATCTATGTTTGCATTTTTATGTCCTAACATGTGAAGCATGCTTTGATTTACTGTGAAGTGTTGCAATGGCAATAAAGTAGATGTTGAGACGTGCAAACTGGGCAACCCGAGGAAGCAGTTCTTGCCTCTGCATCCCCTTTATCATGAATGTTCCTTAAACACCTTTGGTGGAGTCCAAGTGTCTGGATTATGAATTGAATTGTGCAAGATTCTTTTTTTAAACACTTTCCTGATGATTTACTTTACTTGCAGTTTCTTGTCCTGCATAGTGATAAGCAACATCCTTCAAAGAACTGCAGTGCAGGACTTTTTTTTTTTTTTTTTTTTTTT